ATATCTATATCAATCACCTGTATGAATCAATCATTATGTATTTATGATACAATCAATTTCATTCAGTCATATCATTCAATCATTTTCGTTAATCAATCAGTACTTATATAATTGTACGTATTAGTATCCATATTCAGTAAACAATAACAACAATCCATATATGTATTTTGTAATAAATATCAATAATTAGTAATTAGAATCAATACAACAATCAATATTCTCTCAGATATTCAGTTGATGGTATCTTATATCTTACTTTTGCACTTATGACTCACAATTAGTCGCCCTTTATGACTTTCAATCAATAAACTTCTTATAACTTCTCCTGAATCACGTGACATTTGCCTTGACTTGTTATGACTCTCAATCAATCTCCAACTTCTTGTGACTCCCATCAGTAGACCACGTGGATTTTGAGGATATCATGTGAGACTATCATACAATATATCTAATATCAATTAGTATATCAAATCCATATATCACATCAGATTCAGAATAGTAGCAATATTACATTCTTGTTTAACTTAATCATATCTATCATTTCAATAGATATTACCTTACAATTTTATCATGCTAATTCACATTACAATGCTTTTCAACACATTTTAAATTTGTTTTTTTCCCTACTCATTTTATAAAAAAATATACACATTAAATGATAAAAATATAATAAAATCATATCAAACCATTATGAATGATCATATATATAATATATCAAAAATTTCATAGAGAAAGCTTACAAAATTAGAAAATAATGCATTTTTTGCAGATTTAGGAGAGATAAATCCGTAAAAGTCTAATTCATAAAAATTAGAAGTAAGAGGATAATTATTTACAACGATCAAAACATTTTTTACAATAAAAATGACAGACAAAAAATACTAAAAATTAGCTTTTAATTTATCTTCTTTTGCTTACCTCTTCCTCTCCCTTTTCCATTTTTCTTCTAGAGCAAGTCACATCAGAAATGGGGGAGGTGACGACGCTGGAATATTTTAATGTTTAGATTTAGAATAAAAAAATTATATAAAAATACTGTTAGTAGTCTAGCACAATAGCGCTATGACCTAGCATCGCAGCGCTGCATATTGAATCCAAATATACTATAGAACAAGGCCTCAAACGCTGCAGCAGCATTTTTCTAGCCTCATTGTGCTCTCAAATCTAGCGCCGCAACACTTATAAGTACAACACCGAAGTGCTTCAAATCAAGCAGAAATTCAAAAATTCATATTTTAAAATACTCATTATTACATGAGATTTCCCTTAGACATGATCTCCCTCATATTACTTTTATCTAGTTGGGTCGAATAATTAAGCTATCTTGTAGCAATGGTTGAAAACAACCATTTTTTTACCAAATCATTTCTGCCAGTGTCTATCAGGTCGGAGTCTTACTTAAATCTGTCAATGAGACATCTAAAAATACGTGTTCCATTAATATACATTTATAAAATTAAATTCATTCCTTAAAAAAACAATGGATTGAAGAGAATCTTGTCAGCTTTTTATTCTTTTTAATCTTGCCAGCTTAGTGGTATTAAATTAAGCTTATATTTCTATTGTTAGTGTTAATCTATGATTAAAAAATGCTACAATGGGAGACAATTTCTTCGACATAGCCTTCTCTCAACTGTTAATCAAGTTTTTAATGGGCCTCTAAACGCTAATCTCCTATGCAACCAATCATGCTAAAACAAAACATTATTAATGATATAATGTGAAAGACCTAAAAAAAAAATTGTGACTTCACGATGCCTTTTGCTGCTCTGCTAGGGTTTCGCCGACCCTTCGCCTTCGACAAGTTCTGAGGGTTTTCCTCTCATTTTAAGGCTAAGGTATTAGTTTCCTTCCTGTTTTCGATGGATAAACTTCGTGATCCTGGGTTTTTGAACGGGGCTTCCGCGCCTCTCTCGTTTAAGGAAGCTCTTGCGGGTTCTTCGTCGTCTTTCCCTGATTTAAAGGTTTCTTCTCATCGTGGCTTGCCGACTCTTTTTATCTCTGAGGAAGAGGTGCGATCTCTTGTTTCTCCTTTCGATTTTGCGTTAGTTGGCAGATTTCCGGGTAGGCGACCTTCGGTCGACGCTATTAGGAAGTTTTGTTTCAACTTAAAGTTGATAGGTGATTTTTCGGTTACA